TCATCGCTCATATGCTCTCGCACCTCACATTCCGCTGCCGCCCATTCTTCTTCTCCTTCTCTATGAGGCGATAGGTTACGAATCAAAGATGATAGGTTGTTTCTCCTTTATCTCCTAATTGAGCGACGAGGATGACGATAGGCGACGAGTTCTGACAGATCCAGCAAAAACAAAGGTTAACTTTGCGGCGATTGTGGTGATGTCTACTGTCCTGCAAATCTGGGAACTAGACTGAAAAAATGGTCGCAGAGATGATTTACGGTGGTTGTGGTGCGGTGGTTAGAGTTGTAGGCATTCTGGGGTGGTGTCGGGGTTGTTGGGACTGCGGTAGAGGCTTGCGGCAGGTGCAGGAGAGGCTGGGGGGCTTGGCCCAAGGATGGGGCTGGGGAGCTACGACTGGTGGGTGGTGGGGTTAGGGGTTATCTTGCACTGTGGACGATGGTGGAGGAGAGGCGGGTTGTCAGAGTCGGGGCGGCGATGGTCACGATCGGGGTGGCGTTGGTCATTATATGTCAGCGGCTGGCAGTTGTAGTTGGTCACTGTCAATTGGTAACCGTGGTAACGAGGCGACGAGTCAAGGGTGAAGGCGGTGGTGGCGGGTAACTGTCAGTGCCGAATAGGTCACTATCACTAATTGAACGGATGTTGGTCACTAGACGGGTGGACGTTGGTCACTGGACGGGTGGACGCTGGTCACTGGACAGGTGGACGTTGATCATTGGACGAATGGACGTTGGTCACTGAACGGACGGACATTGGCCACTGGACGGACGAACGTTGGTCACTGGAGCGGTAGTAATTGAGACGGTGATCACTGGAGCAGTAGTAATTGAGACAATGATCACAGGAGCAATAGTAACTGAAGCGGTAGTAACTGAGACCATTTTCACATAATTTAAATAATTTAAATGTAACAATTTAAATATTTAAGATTTCTATGTTTCCATAAGTATCTATCTTATCAAAAGAAGCATTATCCTCAACAAAAAATCAAAAGAAACGTTAATTGGTTGAATGCATGAGAACTTCTTCTTGTACACACTTTTATACCCATCTTATATCCATCATGTTTGTGAGGAGTTTTTTTTTTGTCTGTGAATTCGATTCACAGAGTCACAGACAAAATAATTTGCATAGACATATTTTGTCTGTGATCGGGAGTAAAGTTATCGGATGGAGTAAAGTTATCGGATGGAGCATCGTACCATTAGAAAGGGTAATTTAGACAAGTATTTGTTTATTAGTCACATTTTTAATTAAGAAAAAAGTCTCTTTTTTTGTCTAATACTTGTTTTTTAGTAATATTCATGTCAAAATCTCTTATCTTTTGTTAATTTAATTATATTAATGAAAAAAAAAACCAAAAATATACCTACCATACGTACGGAGTATTACGTAGTAGTGGCCAGTGGAGAATTATACGGTACACCCGGGTGTACATGTACACCCGGTTTTTTTGAAATTCTTTGCAAGTTTGAGGCTGATATCATAGAACCTTTTAACCCCTGCACGCTAGCTCATCTTCCGATGCTCCCTGAGTCCCTGCTCTTCTCCCTGAGTCTCTGCTTCATTCGGTAGTTCTACTTTTCCGATCCGTTCTCTCTTTCCCTTCATTTTTATTTCAGAGGCAATTGAAAAGTGATAGCTTGTCCCGATCAAATATTTAAAGAGCACATTATTCTGACTTTCTTTTTCTCTTGCAAGCCACCGTCTATGGTCTAAAACTACCAGAAATAAAGTGCAACTTTGCTAATCAGATGTTTCATTGTTGAGAGGATGTGAACCGAAAATTGAAAGATCATGTTTTTTGTTTCTGTCTTATCCATTCTTCTCCTTTCCTTCTTCTTTCTTTTTAACTTATACATGGGATGATAATTTGATTAAAATATCTATTCCTCTTTCATTAGTAATACTCCAGATTTTTAAAATTATTTCCAAATATTGAATGCCCATCAAGTGTTTGATAAAATTCCAAAGTGAATGTTCATTCTTATCTTGATGAATTATTTCATTGTTTGATGCATTTGTATAAAAACTACTAACTATAAATAAGTTTTCTTAATATTTCTCATTATAAATTATACTCATAATTGAGTAAAAGAGTTAATCATATTAAGGCTATTTGCAAATGATATACCTGTGAATGAGTTTATCTTATACTCAAATGAGTATAATGTTTACAGGAAATGTGAATTGATATAACAATGCTCTAAAATATAATGAGTATACGAGAATGAGTTTTGTGTTATATTCATTTGAGGCTTGAGAATGAGTATACTGTTAGATTCGCATATTCATTTGAGGCTTCTAAAATGAATTTTGTGTTATACGAGAATGAGTATACTGTTTAAAGTAAATGTGCATTGATGTAACATTAATGAACATTTGATAACATTGGAGATTTGAAGTGAGCTTTTGAATTTTTCGATGCTCATTTTGTAAATTGTGTATACTCATTTGGTAGTGATCGTATGCTCACTTTAAAATGGCATATACATTATGTTAGATTCACATATTTAAATTAATAAAACTTGATTATAGGTATAATTTAACAAGTTTTTATAAAAGAAAAAATCAAACAGAAAGTGAATCAAAAGTTATGAAGCGGAATTCATGATGCTTAATATTGGAATCCTAATCTCAATAGAATAGGTCTGATACTCATTAAAAGTTCATTAATGCTCATTTAACAGAAATTGTGATTTCTTTCGATCTCAATCTAGGACGTTTGATGCTTAACGAAAATGTTATGATGTTCAACTAACAAACCTTATGACTTTCATATCAATGCGCATTTTGTAAGTTACTTATGCTCAATAAAATGGGTCAGATGCTCACTAAAAGTACAATATTGCTCATTTAGCAGAGCTGTGATTTCCGCTTAAATTAAAAAAAATGCCACCGAAATGCGCATTTTGTAAGTTACTATGCTCATTTGGTACTCATCTTATACTCATTTTCTAAATGTCATATCAATGCATTTTTTAAAAGTACTATTCTATTTCGCAGTAGGTTCACATATTAAATTCATAGGAGTTGATTATAAATATAATTTAATAAGTTTTTATAAAAGAAAAAATAACAAAAAGAAAGTGAATTAGATGTTATGAAACAAAGATCACGATTCTGAATATTAGACTCCTAATACTCAACACTATATGTCTGATGCTCATTAAAAGTTCATTAATGCTCATTCACCAGTAACCGTGATTTTCATGTCAATAGCGGAAGTTTGATGCTCAATTAAAATGTCGTGATGTTCAACTAACAAACCTTACGACTTTAATATCAATGTGCACTTTGTAAGTTATATATGCTCATTTGGCATTGATATTATGCTCATTTTTAAAAATGTTATATTAATGTATATTTCAAAAGTATCTTATTACATTAAAGTCACATATTAAAATTAATAGGAATATATTAAAGATATAATTTAATAAGTTTTTATAAAAGAAAAAATAAGAAAAAGAAAAAAGAATTAGAAGATATGAAGCCGGGATCGTGATACTCATTGTTAGCCTCTTAAATACTCAATAAAATAGATATGATGCTCATTAAAAATACATTATTGCTCATTTAGCAGAAGTCATGAATTTTCACTTAAACTATAAAAATGTCGTCAAAAATATTAGACTGTATTAATTAAATGGGCTGTCATATTTGTTATTTGGGCCTTTTTGATCCTCATTCGTAAAATTGAAAGATTTGATTTACGGGTATTGTTCATCGTCTCTCTTCAGATGATGAGCATAGATAACTTACGAAATGAGCATCAAAAAATGTAAAAAGCACGTTGAAAATCTCTAGTATACTCAAGTATCAATTTGTGTATAACATAAAGAAGCATCAATTTCTTGTTTCATACAAATCACTTTATTATTGTGCTTATTTTTAAAAATTATATCAATGCACATTTAATTTAAATAATATACTCTTAATTATTTAGAAGGTTGAACATTTCAATAGAAGAGTGAAAAATGTATATGTTTTTACTGAATTGCTATTCAATATGAATTTTGAGAGAATTGCATGAAAAAATTCTTGTAGAAAATTTACATAAAAATAGGAGTTCAAAACTAGAGGAGCAGAAAACAAAAAAAGTACTCGTATATATAAAAACGGAAGCAGAAAAAGAAAAAGTAAAATTAGAAAAGTTAAAATTCAAATTAAAGGAAAATAAAAAAGAAAAACGGATGCAGAAAAAAATCTAATGCATTTTTTTTGTCAAAAGAAGAGTTAATGTTACAAATATTAAAGGTCAATATTAATTAAGAGAAAAGAAAAACAAAAGCATAAATTGAAAAAGAAAAATCGAGAAGCTGGAAGAGAAAACCGGAAGAGAAAGCTCAAAAACAAAAAACGTAAGATACAAAAAATGAAAAAGTAAGTTGGAAGAAAGAGAAAAAAGAAAAAAGAAGGAGAATGCGTCGGACGAAAGAGAACAACGAAGGAAACAAATACTTGACTCCCTAATTAGAAACCTGCATCTTACTATTAATTACAAAAATACCAGGTGTATGTACACCCGAGTGTATAGTATAGGAACTCGTGGCCAGTGGGTAGTGGGTGCTGGGTAGTACGAGTTAAAGAAAAAATCTCTCTTGTACGAGACTGTTTAAATAAAGGTGACAACTCCGGTACCTTTTAAAAAAACAGGGTACCGTACCTACTATTCATTTGATTGGACCACATCACTTTATCATTTTTAATTTACATTTAAGTAATTCAACTACTACATTCTCATTGGTCCATGTAGATAAAGGTATGGTACCTTATGGGTACCATAGAATCTACCTTAAATAAAACGGAATTTTAGAATGTTTTCTTTTGTACTGCTTTCAGTTATAGACCAGACCAGACCAGATTAGATCAGATTAGATCAGATCAGACCGAACCAGACTAGATCATACTTACGTAGTTATAAAATACTCAGAAACCAAATGCTTATCGATCCAACCAGACCAGGTCAGTAAATCAGTCAAGAAAACATCCTAAGCTTTTAATTGGTGTTTCGGGCTTTAATTAAAACGAAACCGTTTCATTTGTCAATAAATTGTGGACAAAATAGGTGCCAAGTAGCGGCATTCATTTCACAAATTAATGCAACTAAAACGCCCATAGCTGCAACTAAGCTTTATTTAATTGTTGAAAGGTAAAGGACCAAAGGAGATGGCCGTCCTTACCCCATCGTATTAGGCAACTCCATAAACAAGCTCATCACCGCCACTGTGAGCCGTCGTCTGCGCGTAGCTTTTCGACATGGCACCAAAGGAGGCGGAGGCGCCAGAGGCGATCAAGGCACTCTTTGATGATTACTCTGATAGTGGGATCATGACCGTTGACCATTTCCACAGGTTCCTCATTGAGATCCAAAAGCAACAGAATGCTACAATGGAAGACGCGGTGAACGTGTTTCGTCAAATTGATGTTAAACCCCAACAGGGTTTAAATCTGTACAGTTTTTTCAAGTACCTTTTTGATGATTTCAACTCTCCTCATCTCCATATTATCAGCGGGGTACACTTCTGTAATTTCCTCTGTTTCTCTCTCTTTTGGAATTTTATATTATCATACTTTTGTTGGACTGGGAGCAGAGCTAAGGTTTGCATTTTTTTGCTTATTAGGGTTCTGGGTTTGTTGGTTTTAGTGCGTATATTGATTTGTTTAGCTCTTTCCCCCATTTTGATGATTATTTTTAATAAGTAGCAGAATGGGCAGTGCTGGTGGGTTCCTTTTTAGAAAGAGTATACAGAGCTTTTGTCTCTTTATAATTTGATTTAAATATATCAGTAATCAAGATTCTTTACTATCCAACTTCCCACGTATGCCACTGCATTGATATAAATATTTGTATGCTGCTTTTTTTCCTTAAATGCTGAGTTGGATGTAACACATAAATAGAAGTAAGCAAGAAGAAAGGAAAGAAGCCGTAAATATCATTTGTCTTCTTGCAATGGTTGTGGTTTGTGATTACACATGCCATTATTTTAGTTCTGGTTATTTTACCTGCATGTTTATTATTCACTTCTTAAGAGAGTAATTTATTTTTAGTAAATCTATTTGGGTTGCAGGTTCACCATGACATGACTGCCCCTCTGTCGCATTATTTCATATTTACTGGGCACAATTCATATCTTACTGGAAACCAACTTAGTAGTGACAGCAGTGATGCTCCCATTATAGATGCCTTGAAAAGAGGAGTTAGAGTAATTGAATTGGACATTTGGCCTAATTCCACTGGAGATGATGTCCATGTTTTTCATGGGAGGTAAGGTGCATTCTTATATGTATATGCTGTAGTTGATCAAATGTTTGTATCATCCTAAGCTAAATCATCTTTTTAAAATAATAAGCATTTTTCCCACTAACTACTTGTGTTGTTTACTTTGTGTAGGACACTTACATCTCACGTGGAGCTTATCAGATGTCTAAGGTCTATCAAAGAACATGCGTTTATTGCATCAGATTATCCAGTTATTATAACCCTAGAAGACCACCTAACTCCCGATCTTCAGACTAAAGTGGCTGAGGTAGAACTCTTTGTAATCTTTTAGGGTCATTTTCAATGGAGGGATTTTGATTTTTTTGGAGGGAAATGCTTTGATGGTATTCGTTTATATCCTGATAATTAAAGTGTCCCTGAAATGAATAATAGGTGACCATAAAATTTGGACCATGATTTTGATTAGTATAAGATTATGGAAGTTTTAAATTTTATACTTTTATTAAAGTACTTCTACCAAAGAAATTTTTTCATATAATTTTTACATTATAAAAATTTCAAATAAAAATATATAGAAGGTCAAAGTTTGGCAAAGTTTTTTGGGACGGAGGTAGTATATGATTACATGTTATGTAATTTTATCGATATTATTATATGTCACACACATATATGTGTATGTTTCTATGTATGTATAGAAAAACATGTATGTATGTATAAATAAAGATACTAACTTTTCCCCAACACCAAAGAGACATCCAAAAACCTTCATCCAAACGAAGTCTTAGGGGTTCGAAACTTTTTTTGGAGTAATGTCTCAATCTTAATTTGTAGATGGTCACTCAAACCTTTGGAGACATTCTGTTCATTCCTGGATTAGTACGCTTAAAGGAATTTCCCTCCCCAGAATTGTTGAAGAAACGAATTCTCATATCAACCAAACCACCAAAGGAGTACCTTGAGGGAAATGATATTAAAGAGAAGAAGGGTGATACGGAGAGTGAAAAGTCTTGCCACATTCAAGCTGATGACAAGGTGTGTATGAAAGAAGAGTGTGTTGAGGTATAATAAAGAAATATTTATCCAAGTTTCCAACATTTCCCCCTTTTCCAACAGAATGAACCAGAAGAAGATAGTGATGATGAAGAGGTTGAAGGGGATATTAAGTCGAACCGAAAGGTAGCCCCAGAGTATAAACAATTAATTACAATTCATGCTGGGAAGCCTAAAGGTGGTTTTGATGTAAGCCTGAAACTGGATTCCGAGAAAGTGAGACGCCTTAGCTTAAGTGAGGAACAACTTGAAGATGCTGCAGAAACTCATGGAAAAGAAATTGTCAGGTGCCAATTTATATATATGAAATTTCTCAATTGCCATCTTAACTTTCCACTAAAAGGAAACTGAATATTTAACTATTTATACTTAAAGAAACTGAATATTTATGCTTAAAGAACAATTATGCACATCTTTACAACTATTTAATATGCATATAATGTTTCATGAATCATCTGAAATTTCAACCAAGTAATGCAAGGTTTCTGATAGTACTAATTGTCATGTAGGTTCACACAGCAGAATATTCTTAGGGTCTACCCAAAGGGTACTCGTGTAGACTCATCCAACTACAACCCGCTGATTGGATGGATGCATGGAGCCCAAATGGTTGCTTTTAATATGCAGGTTTCTGAATAAAAATACTTATCTAGGATAATTGAAGGGTGTGATTTCATAAAGTTTGAGTCAAGACAGTATCCTTGTGGTTTATGTCCTGCTTGTAGTAATAAATTAGATTAAGCACCTTGTGGAGTAGTTAGCTTTTGATTTGCTTATTTGCATGGGGGACGTTACTTTATGGCTTTGGTTTCCTATAGTTCAACATATTCAACGAATTTATTAAAATATTCCTTACCAAACGGGTCATAATTATGTTAGCGTTTAGTCACCATGAACATGCGAGTCTGTAAACTATTAGAATAGTTCAGATAAGCTTATAAAGAAAGAATTATTTTTTTAGCAGTTAATTACACACTTTTGGTTGATGCATTGCATAAAAAAGTGGAACTTATTCTTTTTCTTAGTTTTTTTAAGTACATCTCTGCCAAAAATGCTGATAAATTTATATTGATAGGGACATGGAAGATCACTTTGGTTGATGCATTGCATAAAAAAGTGTAACTTATTCTTTTTCTTAGTTTTTTAAGTACTTCTCTGCCAAAAGTGCTTATAAATTTATATTGATAGGGACATGGAAGATCACTTTGGTTGATGCATGGAATGTTCAAATCTAATGGTGGGTGTGGTTATGTGAAGAAACCTGACTTTCTATTAAAGCCTGGTCCTCATGGTGAGGTGTTTGACCCTAGAGCTGAGTTACCCGTGAAGACAACTTTGAAGGTGTGCCCAATTGTTTGACATTTTCTTGATCGCTCTACTACACCAGTACACCACCATAATGCTATTGATCTAATTGACCTAATACTCCTATTAGGTGAAAGTCTATATGGGGGATGGATGGTACAATGATTTCCAGAAGAAAGATTTTGATTTATTTAGCAAACCAGATTTCTATGTTAGGGTATGTCAATACTTTATTTCATGCCCCTCCCTCTTATCCCTAGAATAATATTATATAAACTTATATTGATGGTTTGTGGTTGGTCACCCTGCAGGTAGGAATTGCTGGAGTCCCTGCAGATAGTGAAATGAAGAAGACAGCAAAAGTGGATGACAATTGGAGACCTGTTTGGAATGAGGAATTTGAGTTTCCATTAACTGTTCCAGAATTGGCTCTTCTTCAGATTGTTGTGAAAGAGTATGACATGTCTGAAAAGGATGATTTTGGTGGGCAGACTTGCCTGCCCGTATCTGAATTACAAAGAGGGATTCGGGCAGTTCCACTACATGACCGTGACGGGACAAAGTTTGCTTCGGTTAAGCTGTTGATGCATTTCGATTTTGTGTGAGTGTATTAGCAGTTCTCTATGGGATGATAGTGTACAGACTCCACATCAGTTAAGCCATTTTTTTTTGTTTTGTTTGATGTTGCTGTGATCTGGTTGGTGTCTGTCACAATAAGAACATTTGCCTCTGTTGTTTTTAGTATTATTCCACGTCAAAGGATCATTTGTACCCAAGGTCACTATTGTTAAACCATACGTAGTATTTTGTGACTTTTACCTGATATTTTTTTTGGCAAAGATAACTTAATTAATATTAAAACTGAGGACCATATACAAGTTCGCCATAACAAAGGCTAAACTGGGATGGGACTCAGAACTGGAATCGTGCTTACTAGCGGACCATCTCGCTAATCCCGCAATTTGGTAGACTCTATACATAGCAATGCTGCACCTGCTACTAAGAGAGTATTTAAAAAGCAAAACAGAGTTTTGAAAAAATGAAAAATTAAATGAAGAACATAATCCAGTTATTCCGCAAGGGACTAGCGGTTTGACCAGCCTTCGCTAAAGGTACTTCATCCTTGTCTTCACATTCTTCTGCTACTGGCGGTGCTACCTGAGCAACACCGCCACTTCCAAGTTTTTTGGAGTTTCTTCATCCACTTCCATGCTAGCCTGTACCCCGACTTCGTTGTCCTTCTCAGTGGCCCTACACTTTCTCGATGCATCCTGGGTTGTAGCAATTTCTTTCCTCTTTGAGAGCAGTCCTCCCACCTAATAACTTTCATGTTCCTTTATCACTTTATCAACCTTTGCCTTTTTGTCCCTGCCTGTCACCTGACTTGTTGATGCTAGGTATAAGCCATCTGTTGCCCGAATGTGATCCTCCCCGCCTCATATCGGCCCGTGGCTATGGCCCATAAGACTTCTCCCCAATCCCAACACCGCAATGCGGATTAGATGGACAGAAACGGTCAGCATGACCAAGTATCCCATACCAAGTATCCCATACATAAACCAGAAATTCGAGTCTCTCATACCGAAAGTTTGCCCAGATCCATCTATCTCCCTCCTGTCTGACTTGTAGGCGTCTAGTCAAAGCCATTGTAATATTCAGAGTAACTCGAAAACGCACGACTAACCTTTGCTTTCCGCCAAACGAGCTCTTGTCCACTTGCACAAGCGTTCCAATGTTATTAGCAATTCCACGAGCTGTCCGTGCCTACATGTAGCTTAAGGGTAGATCATGGAACCTGGACCCAAAAATCTGCATGATCCAACGGGAGTACGGGACCTCCAGAGGTTTATAAATATGCCCCAATCGTTTAATAACCACAAGATTTTGCTTAAAGGACCAGGGCCCCTCATCAACAACTATGTTGAGATCTCCTTCGTGTAGAATTGTAGAAGGAATTTAGAATCCTCAATTTCATCAATAGAAAACTCCCTTAACTGGTCGCCAGACCCTAGCCATTGTTTGGCAAAAAGAAACGGCACGAACAGGTTTATCAGAAACCACTCTAGCCACGACCACTAGAAACGGCCGAGTCAGCCGCTAACACCAAACCCCTGTTCTCTTCCTCTGAAAGCATACTAACATTTCTCGAAATCATTTCCATCACAACACAATCCAAACATTTCTCGAAATCATATCCATCACAACACAATCCAAATTCCACAAACAATGCAAATAAAGACTCAATTAAGTAATAAAACTAAACACTCGAAGCTCTGCAATCCACGAAAACAGAGAAGATACCAGCCGTTCCTACTGATCAGATGCACAACAAACAGCCTCGGCCAATTTAAGCCGGAAAAACAGACTCGGGATAGACGGCCGGAAAAGAGGACAAAACAATCGAGCACAAAGAACCAAGAGGAAAAACAACCTGGTAAAGAATGATTAAACGCCAATGCTTCCTAGAGATGCCATCACCTTTGACGAATTGAAACTGCCTTGAGGATACATTTTGCTTCGTCGATCCTGATGGCCGTCGACGAAATCCCAAATCTAGGTTCGGCGCTCTCCATTAAAGTGTTTAAAAGTTAAAAAGTGTTTTCAAATGACAACTATTAAATTAATCACTTAAAAACTAAAAGCTGGAAGCAGGTGGAAAAGTGCTTTAAACTGCTTTTCACTTTTTCTATTACACAAAAAGTACTTATTTTAGCAAACACTACCAACTTTTACTTTTTCAGAATCACTTTTTCCTCAAACACTACCAACTTTTACTATTAATCAATTTTCCCAAAATCACTTTAAAAAATCACTTTTTTAAAGTTGAAGCAATTGCAAACACTCCCTTAGTACTCCACCTTCCTTACCTGATGTAATTAGATTGATTTCACTCACATAATCAGACCAATTCAAATCATATTATGATAGACCATGTAACACAATTGTAAAATGCACATAGAAGGGACGTCTACAAAATTAGACAAGATTTCGATTGATTATAAAATAGTGATAGAACAAACATCTACTAGACTAGTTTGTACCACTCCTATTAGATCATATCAGACTTGCCAAATCAAATTAGATCAACTTGTATCAGAAAATTTCAATCCAATTAAATAAATCCCTACTCCCTCCGTCCCTAATCTTTCTCCCATTTCGGCTGGGCACGTTTATTAAGAAAGTGGGATTTGTGTGGTGGAGAGTTGTGCAGAGGAGAGAGAAATGTGTAAGAATGGTTGTGAACCACAAATTCTTTGCTAAAAGGGGAAAGAGGAGATAATTTTGGGACGGACGAAAAAGGAAAGTTTGAAGATAATTCAGGGACGGAGGGAGTATTAATTACAAATTGTTTACTCCAAATAAAATAAATACTCCATAATTCTTTTTTGCATATTGTGGGCCGTCTACTCCCATGATGTCTCACCGGATCCGGGAGACGGTTCCACGTTTACTCAAATAAAGTGCCGAATTCGGATCGGGTGCGGGTCTAGACCCGACCCATCGACAGGCCTACTTGTACCAAGCTTGCCTTATACTAATATGAAAGCTTATAGTACAATCTTCATACATATCCATGATGATGTTGATATACTTACGTGATATTCGAATTCAGTTAAGAACCACTAAACAACTCACATGATGTTCAAATCCAGCGAGGCTCGTCTGATTTGATCTAACCTGCTTATGTCTGGTCTGATATAAGATTGAAATTAGTTCAACTAAAATATCTAAGCGGGTCATTGATTTTCGTATCAACCAATTGAAGCCGGTTTAGATTTGGTAACCTATGCATTGTGCATGCTTTTTTGTTTTCAATCAGGGGCGTAGCTAGGGGGCAACCATGGCACCGGTCCTCCCCAAATTTTGAAAATGTTAATATTTTAGTGTAAAAATTCCGTGTAATTTTTTCACTAAAAATATTCTTTGTACCGGCTCAGTGCGGTCCAGGCCCTGACTCTGCCCCTATTTTCAATATATATTTATATTGTTTGCACATGTTGTGTGGTGGTTTTCTATTAGAATAGACTTGATCAGATTTAAACAGATCACATGAGACTGTGAAAATAGTAAAATAAACACTTTAGAAATTTGTTAATATAAATTAAATTCAAATATCTTAATAAGCAAGATGTGTATACGCTTTAAAAGTTCTTGATTTATCTTTCAAGTGTTTGTGTTTTATGTAATTGAGTAAAATTAAATATTTTTTTTAGTGAATAAATTAAATACTTCAAAAGTGGAATATAAACTTTGGATGTTTTTACTTGGACCGAAATATGCTAGTTTGGTCTGATCTAGTCTGTTGAAGTCTGATCTGATCTAGTCTATTTAAGTCTGATCTGCTCTGAACTGACCTGATAAACATCTGGTCTCTGTGTATTTTATAATTATGATAGTCTGGTCTGATCTAGTCTGATTTAAACTTGGCTGGTCTGATATGGTTCGTGTAAGTTTGCTTGGGTTTGGTTTAGTCTAGCAGTATAAACATCCTCACTCTTTGGTAGCCTTGTGATCTCCCAAAGAAGAGGTCGTAAGTTCGAGTCTCATCTCAATCAAGAATGTTGGTATTAAAGATGTTTTCTTTTGGACTGTTTTCAGTCCCAGACCAGACCAGACCAGACCAGACCAGACTTAAACAGACCAGACCAGAACAGACTTAAACAGACCAGACCAGACCAGACTTCCGTAGTTATAAAATACACAGAGACCAGACGTTTACCAGACCAGACCAGACCAGTTCAGACCAGACCAGACCAGACCAGATTTAAACAGACTAGACCAGACTTAAACAGACCAGACCAGCAAATTTCAGTCCAAAACAAAACATCCTAACCAAACCGGATACTATAAGTCTATAATAGGTTTAAAACAAAAAAAAATGCATGGTAATACGAAGAGACTAATTAATTTAATTTCATGAAAAAGGAGGTAAGTACAAGATAATAATGAGATAATAATCTCACCAAATCTCAATTGCTTGTACCCAAGAACAAATGCGGTTGCAACCGCCCGCGCGTCGCAGTCAAAGCAGAAAGGAATAAGACATGCAACGGGTTGCAAATTACAGGAAGACGCAAATTGTCGGGACTCTATCGTGGGCCCCCACCCAATCGCCACGTTCACCACCACCTCTTCCCCTCTCTCTCCCAAAACCGGTGAGACATCATGGGACTCTTGCTTAAAACGCGTACCCACAGATACCAATCACCAACAACTTCCAGCGGTGACAGAATATTCCACTGAGGTTTTAGAGAGAAGAAGATGGTCAGGGACGACATAGAAAGCGCGGGAGATAAGAGCAGGGGAAGGGATTTTGTCCCGGCGATTGATGTCGGAGACCGGCAGAGGGTTTCGTGGCTGATCCCTCTGTTCGTTGCTGCCAACGTTGCTATGTTCGTTGTTACTATGTATGTCAACGATTGTCCGGAGCATGCCTCCGGTTGCGTGGCTGATTTCCTCCGACGCTTCTCTTTTCAGCCCCTGCGCGAGAATCCTCTCTTCGGCCCTTCTGCTTCCACGTAAGAAAGAAGGACTTTGATTTTCTATTAATCTCCCATTCAAGTCATCATCTTGTGTTTTTTTATTTTGGGCTTTAGCTATGTTTTTTCTCTTTAAAACTTTCAAATTATTTAGTTGGTTACAATTGGAGGGTTTTCTCTTCTGGCTAACTGATTTAAGTTGTCTGGCAATGCTTGGGGCTAACATTGAATTGCAATGTGTGAACTGTGAACTTAAATGCCTGTTTTTTAAATGGCCTTGATTAGTTTATTTGCTTAGTGGCTTTATGAGCTGATAAGAATCTGGGTAATAACTAATAAGGTT